CGTCTGTCCAGGAACGCTGGTAGACCCAAATCATTCCCACAACATCAGTCAATATTGACGCTGTTGGGGAGGAGAAATATATTCTCCTATCGATGTGCCCACCCCACACATGTATATGCGAAAAAAAAAATTGGTACTGAGACGTCTATGAAAGTAGAGCTACTCACCCTCACCCAAACAAAACACAAAAAAACAACAACAACGAAGGAAAAAAAAAAGCGTCTGTATGGGAGAGAACGACCTGGGCACCTCGGCTCTATGTAGGCTGCACCATCACGTGGTCATACAGAGCGAATTTTGCTTCGTACCAAGAGTGATCAAGCGATCTCCATCTCTCTAGTAACTTCATCACATGCGCCGGTGCAACTCCATTCTGCTCAACAAGGTCCATCACCCGGATGTGGACCTCTTTGTTTTTAGCATCAATCATTTTTATAGTGGCTTGTAGATCTTCGGCAAGTTGTTGCTGCGCTGTTTCATCCATTAACCCTGGGTTCTTCGAGAAGTACTGCTCCTTCAGCCTAACAACATCCTTGCATTGGAGGCCAATGCAGTGGAGAAGCTCCTCGACACGTCGCTCATAGGCGCTCTCCGTTACAGCTTCTACCGTCTTACTCACAGTGGTATAGCGTTTCGCAGTTATTCCTGTTGGAGTAATAGAGTGCTGTTCTTCTTCATACACAGAAGACCCCTTCATGGATCCTGAGCCTTCCTTCACGGAACATGAGTTATCTTTTACAGATTCTGACTCCTCTTTCGCGGACAGCGAGGTCTCCCTGAAGGGCCGGACCAACCCCACTTGCTTATTTATAAGGGGAGTGCAGTTTCCATCTCGGGCGATTGGTTCTGGAACAAACGCCCGTGGCACAGGAAGTGCTTCTACGATGCTCGACGGTGTCGCGGGGGAAATGCAAGAGCGATTGACTTGGTTAGCGAAGGTATTAGAATTTATCAGCATTGGCTTCGATCCACCCCCCACGGAATACAGAGAGGATCGCCGTGAACCAGTCAAGCTGCTGCTACCAGCATTTGCAGACTGCACCGTTTGAATGCAGGGGCGCACCATCGACATTCCACCGTTTGCGTGCGTCGGTGAGCCAGTGCTCGCCACAGTGCCTGCCTTTTCCAAGAGAAGGTTCATGACGAGGGCCAATACCACCCTTGGGTCTTCCGCAGCGAAGTCCGTTGAATTAGGGATGCGCAGCGGCCCATGCTGCATGGCCTCTTCCCGCACGTGCTGCTCGATATCACCGCGGCAAAGCATTTTGCCACATAAAAGCGGGCACGGGACCTCCACCCCAGGACACACCTTACCGTGCTGCACCAGTTCGGCCAGCACACTGAACACCTTATCGCATTGGTGACAAACCAGAGCCTCCGTTGAATGCAACCCGTTCTGAGAGTCACTGGCATCGCTCTTCTTGCAGTGGCTGTGCTTCTTCTTTACTGGTGTTTCACTACCGCGACGCGTCACGGTGCACTGAGCCTCGTGCTTTGCAAGCATATCCCTCCCGCGGCATATGTAACCGCACACGACACCTGTCCGTGGGTCGACACGCGTGCAGGCCATTGGTTTCAGGGGGCAGTAGCGGTCGTGGTCAGTGACGGCTTCTGGCAAAAGCGGTTGAGAGCAGTACTTGCACCGTACCTCAGCGGCCCCTTTGCGACGCACTGCAACGACATTGTTGGCAGTTGCAGCCTCGACAGAACGCGGCGAATCGCGGCGCAGACCCTGCGATGCAGGGCTAACGAAACGCCTGCCACTGACGATAGTAGTAGACTCGCCACCACCAATACCCACGCTGCTACCACTGAGCGAAGTGCGGCGCAATGTAAGGAAGCCTTGAAGCTTCTGCTTCTGCTGTTCGTTTCCCGAGGGATACCGCGCTGAATCAACAGAGGACCGCCGTCGCAGCATCCTCCGTGCAGAAGACGGGGTGCACACCTCTGGTGCGGCGTTGTAAGAGTACCTGCGGTGCCCCTGCATTGTACTCATCCTTGTACTTGGATTTGGTATGATGCTGGCCTGCAGAGACACACATGCGAAGGACAAACAAAAAAGAATACAGAAGGAAACATATTATATATAATATTCCCTGGGGTTGACAAGGTGCCACAACATTGCAGGAGACCTTACTCTTGTTTGGTTCTTGATCTTCCCGGATGTGAAGGGCACGCCGATCCACCATAGCAGAAGGGAGAACAGGCCACAAAACGCTCGTGTTAGATCCTAAATGATCATAGTCCTCTTCTTTTTTTCTTCTCATTTTCGTTTTCATCCCTTCTCCCTCTCTTTTGTGCTTACTTACCCTTTTTTTATTATCCATTCTTGAGACGCATACACAGTGGTTCTTCCTTTTTTTTCTTGTTGTTGCTGTTGTTGTTTTCGTTTCCCCTCTCGTATTATTTCGAACTATATGTACCTTCATAACATGCGCAGCGCGGTATGATAGGTCTTGTCGGACGCTCAATAGCAAAGAAGCACCCTTCATTCTGCTGTGAAATGGGGAGGGGGGACTCAATACTTACCCGATTTCATGGCATCATACATATCCTTGTGGACAACACGCTTTTCTTTTTTAGCGGGTCGAAGTCCAGCTGGCACAGCAGCAAGCACTGTGTTTTTGATAAGTTTACCACGTGGCACCCATTTTGGCAATGGCCTATTGTTGTCCATTGTCGCATACAGAACGCCTGTGATGGTTACTGCAATTGCGACACCCGCAATAGCACCCATCGCCAGCGCTTCTTCTTTGTTCGCGTTCGTCGTCTCCGTTATTTTGGGTGGCGGTCCGTAGCGGCTACGGTGCGTCATCATCGGGTCCACGTGCACCATGCGGCAGAATGTGCTCGTGCTCACGATATCTGTCGTGATGGTGGCCTGTACTATCACCTCCATGTTTGTGGCAATGTTAATAGCGCCAGGGATGAAGGTAAAAGCGAATGGTACATCAGCCACTTCCACTGGGCCTACTGAAGGCCCTGTTGTTATGGTGCCATTCGCCACCCTATTTGTCAAATCACGGAAGCTCAGGAAGGGATGCGTGTACTGCCACCAGTAGCCCGCCGCCTTGGGTGGTATCGCCGCAACCCCAGTGGCTGGGTCTTGGTACAGCAGGTACACACTGGTGCCGTTGTAGCGCACCACAACGGAATGCACATTCACTTGTGACGCGTTTACCCCCGGGAGCTGCAGGTACACAGTGGCCCACCCACTTGGACCAAATGTTGAACTGAGGGTGTCGATGCAGAGGGGCTTAGGAGAGGCGATGCTGAGCTCAAATGGAGTGTCGGGAAGGGAAGTGCCGAGGGGGTCCAAGACGGGCCAGTAGTCAGAGCCGCGACACACACGTAACCCACCTGCCGCAGCATACGAGTCTTGTGACAAGCGTGTCACGTACATGGAGAGATCCATCGTAACATCATGCTTCGTCCCATCGGTCATCAAGAGCTGCAATACCACACGTCCCTCGTAGTTGAATGCTCGTTTTAACGCATCAGGAAGATCCGCACTGCCGATGGCGACACCACGAATGGTGAGGTTCTGGAACCATGTGGCGCACCCCGACGGCGTTGAGAAGCCAGAGCGGTTGTACACATGCATCAGGTTGGTTGGGCACATCGTATCCATGGCCGGACCTTTACTCAATTCGATGCGGCCGACCCCTTGTGGGCAATCACCTGGTGGGAACTCACCAGTGTAAGTGGAAGTGGCGTATTTGCCCTCCGCCGAACAATGTGTCTTATTCCCTTTGCACGTCGGACACTGCTCCGTGCCGGGGGCAATCCAATCCTGCGTAATCCACTTAAATCCAGAAACGTGACGATCCTCCGAATAACTCGTCTCCATATTGTCTGTGACGTACGGGTGCAAGAGGAGATTGACACCAAAGGCACGATCTCCATTCTCTGTATATTCAAAGAACTCAGAGTCGATAGAGAACGGCACTGTAGCTTGTTTGTTCACTACAATAAAGTGATGAAGATCAAATATAACATCATGTGCCTCGTAGTGACTATCAAAGCTGCGTGCTGGTTCAATCCATGAGTTTGGCCTTACACATTCAGATATAATTGTACCCTTTATTTGTCTGTCCCCAACAAAATACCAGACAGGGCTTCCGTCTGACTTCTTCAGCTCCTCCAATGAGGCGTAGGGAAATGTCCCTGTCCACGTGGCATCGCAGTCATCAATTTCTATTTCCCACTGACCAACCGCTCCTGTCTTCGGTACGGCGGGAGTAAGTAATGGGGCGTAATGGCAGGAATCCATGAATGTATCACATCCAATATGTTTTCCACCGAACTTCTGGTACCACGACGTCCCCTTCTTGTACAATGCACCGACTGATCCGGTACCGGTGCCATTTGAAAGTGTCTTCCAGCGCCACACATCTTCTCCCATACCTATTTTGCCCTGATTAGCCAAGCAGCTCAGTTCAAACCCTAGAGACGACGCTTCAGCCACCCCTTTGAAGTCACCTGGTTCAAAGAATTTTCCAGTCATACGGTCAAACGGCTCAAATGTCGGGAATCGCACTCCAAGATTTCCGATAATGGTGTAGACGGTGATGATGATAGAATTATTTGCCCAAGCCACTTGAATGCCATCCACAGCGTGACCATCACCCCGTGCATAGCCTCTTCCCGGTGTGTTGTCCCAGAGGGCCACCTTGGGTGTTGTCATCCATGCCCGTTCATTACACGTTCCACGGCATTTAATCTGCGGGTTTGTGATATTGCTTACAGGTGGCGGCGAAGAGGGATTGGGTCCTTGCCCACTGCTCCCGGGAGGTAGTGTCCATTCCGTGCTCACAAGGATATACGCATTACCTTGACAGTACAGCTTATTTAGACAATACATGCTGAAAGAAAAGCTACCAGGCCCCTCGTACATCGGTGGACGGTACAAAAAGTCACCAATAGGTGTCATCTCTAGTGTACCTTCTTTGGGCGGATTGATCAGGGAAAAGTATCGCCCGTACACGCATGGGTCTTGCCCCGGCATGCCGTTGAGAGAATTGCTGAGGGCGACACCGGGTGCTGTCTGGTAGTAGTATACGTTGGCGCACGAAGGAACAGGCGGGATGGTGGGCGGTGGCGAGGTGGGAGACGGTGTGCTCATCATGTCATCGTAGGATGTGATGACAACCTGAGTGCGGCAATAGAATTTTGTGATACATGAGACGTCAACAGACAACACATCAATACTCTCCTCCGTCGGGGCCACGTAGAGAAAGTCGCCGATGATGTTCACCTGAAAGTCCCTTGATGAGGATCCTCGCGGATAATGATACGTGACGAGAGTACAATTCTGGAGATCTACATGCAATGTGCCGCGCAGCTGTTTCCCTGTCGGAACAACGAAGGTGAACTGCTCATCACACTTTTCAACAGGAGGGGTGGCCGGACTCGGCGTAGTCTCTGGCTCTGGCGGTTTCGTCGTGGTGGGCCGAGTCTCGTTGGTGACAACGAACCCAACCTTGGTGTCACAGAGACTCTCATCATCACAGTAGAAGCGAAGACCCACGATTACATCTTCTTCCTTTTCAGGAGCATCAAATGTAAAGGATGTTCCACCATGAAATGCAAACCTATCCTCCACACTCTCTGATCGAACACTTCCCTCCAAATGGCCGTTACATGAGGCTCCGGGGACGAGTGTCGCGTTCAGCTGAGCTCCTGGTGCCACTATGTACACCAGTTCATTCTTCGGGCACTGCGGAACGTCCTCATGGAGCCGAATCTGCATCGCACCACCACAGACCACACTGCCAGTGCACATCACCTCATAGGGGAGCGTTACGTTCGCCTCAATGTCCTGATTGGGCGATGAATACACAAACTGCAGAGAGTTCGGGCCAAGGAGCGCGGCAGATCCAATACTTGGCTGTGTGATGGATGCCGTGTAGCCGCTCGGGCATGACACTTGCACGGTCGTAGTTGGAAGTGTGCCGACCTGTGTCTTGCCAGGCGGCAGCACCATCTGGTACTCCGATGGGGACACTGCACACGGCGGATACCTCGGCGCCGCAGTTGTTGTGGTTGTAGGCGGTGCCGTGTTGTTGGCGTTCGGGTCTTGCGGCACAGGTTCATTCGGTGGAGCATTAGGGTCGATCTCGTAGTGTATATTGGCGCGGCAGATCTCCACCTCGCCACAGCGGGCGCTGAGTGTGAAGTTCACTATCGCGGGGAGCGGACCGTCAGAAGCTGCGCCAAAGAGGTACTGCCAGCCGCCGGTCAGCAGCAGCAGATTGGACGGAGCTGGTGGTCCCACAACGGCCAGAGAGGCCGCATTCGTTGGACACGTGGAGCCGCTGGGGACACTCACATAGCCGTACGACATGTCGCCCGGTGCGATGCGGTACTGACGACCGTCCTCCGGGCAGATGTCGTCGGCCGCCACACCAGTAGCGATGGCCACCACGCAGACCAGGAGGACACCTAGCATCCCCGCCAACTTCTTTTCTAGCTGCATTCGTTGGCACTTTAAGGAAGCACACATGTATGCAAATATGTGGGGAATAAATAAATAAATCAAAAAAGAAAGCATATTAGAGTGAAAGAACGTGGGCTTAAGACCAGGAATAGAAGCAGCAGCAGCAGACAAGAAGTGTCATGAAGATGACTCACTCCACATGGGAAGAGTGAGCGCAAAAGGGCATAGACCCTTCACTCCACATCCACGACGGTGGCCAGAAGAACATATCACATAAATGTGATATGCAGCGTATTTGCTTCCTTCTTTCCCTCCCTCCTTTTTTTTTTGCTTTCTTATTTTTTTTACTTTCGTGACATTCACAAGAATTTCGTCCAGCTATCATAAAATTATCTTCTCTGCTTCTACTTTTCCCGCCTATCGATCCTCTCAGACTCTCATACAAAACACACACACACACACACAGGTGCGTGGTTAGATCGACAAGCACACGCGAACACTCCGCCACTGCGTGAGGTGAGGCGACCACACCTCCTGTTCCTCTACTTTCACACAATATACGCCGTACGGACATTACAAGCAACAAGGGCACATAAAAACACAACACATCACAAAGGATGAGGCAATAAAGAAGAACGAAACAGAAAAAATGAAAAAAAAAAAATGGAAGGTCCGAACAGTCGAGATGAAGCAAACAACCATATCTTGAGAATACCGTATTTGCCGATGAGTTACGTCGTCCCCTCATTCTTCTTCTTCTTCTTCTCTTCCACGTTCTCTTCATTCTTCATATGTCTAGGAAAGAAAAAAAAGCAAACAACAACCAAAGAAAGGCGGCCGCACCACTAGTCCTTCACAAGTGTGAATTCCCGCACGTTCTCCAGCGCTGCCTGAGCCTTTACAAGAGCCTTCATCATCGTTGTCGTTGCCTTGCGCTGCGTCGCCACCTCCGGCGACTCGGCGAGGAGGTCGTCCACCGCCTTGTCGGAGTAGAGGTTGCGCACCAGCCGCGCGTATACTTCCTCGCGCAGCTTAGAGATCATGAGCAGCGTGATGGCCTTCGGCACCTGATCAGCGACGGAGCTCTTCACGATAGTGAAGTAGCCCTCCACCATCTCGCGAATGGCGTTGTTGATGTGCTGCTCGTGCGCCGACATCTTGTTCCCCAGCATGATAGTCGTCGGCACCGCACCCATGTTTGTCTTCTCCCCCTGACTCACGATGCTCTCGACAAGGCCCCTCTTTACTTTGTCCTTTCCCACCTCCGCGGCTGCGTGCGGCTGGGGGTGTCCCTTTTCGTCTGTACCAGTGCCGAATATCTTCAAAAAGGCCCTCTGTGCCAGCTCCTCCATCAGTGGGTGCTTCACGTTGATAAACCCACGCTCTGCCCCGATAATAGTCCTCACATGTGAGCTAGTCGGCACACGATACTCCTGCAACGACTTGTGGCATATTTCAACAACTGCATGTTTCAATTTCGGAAAGCGTTCCAGTTTCGACGCGCAGATGTCTACAATCTTGATGAGCTCCTCGTACACGAACTGCACACACTTCTGCGAGGGCTCCTCGAGGCGGCTGATCTGCTGCTTCGAGAGTGCGACGAAGACTTGATCGGAGGGAAATAATGTGGCGTGCATGCCTGACATGTTACGTGTATTAATGCGAATATACTCATCTGTTAGATCCTTCGACGCTGTGAGACCGTTGACGTAGGCGGCAAAACATTCATTGAAGATATAGTCGAGTCGAGCACCACCCAACAATTCTTTCGTTGCGTCTGTCGCACCACCGTCAATGGTGTGGTTGAGGGCGTCACTAAACTGTTTGATGAGCGACAGCATGGTGGCGCTGGGGTCCATATTTTCTTGCTCTAGCATGCCAAACTTCTCCATCTGCCTCCGTGCGCCCTCCATCAGCTTATCCACATGCACTTTGAGGTCCGGAATCACAGCCTTGATGTGCTCTAGGAGGAGGTGGTTCAGCTTCTGCGCAAGGTATTCTGTGCCCTGCCGGTCGGCAATCGCGGAGTAGGATGGGTGACTGTGGAAGAATGCCCGCTCATCCTCGCGTGCAGCTGCCATCCCCTTCGCGTCGTTGATGTCTTGCTGGCTGCGGTTCACCACACCGACAAAGCCGTGGCGAAGGTTCACCAGTTTGCCGGTGAGCATGTCATATGCGTCCGTGCCACGGTCCATTAGGTCGATCTTTGTCAGGACACCAACCGTCCGCATTCCCTCTGGGTCAAGCTGTTTTGCCAGCCGAAGCGAGGCACTTGTTGCAAGGTCGGTGTTCGCCGGAGAGATAGCGAGGATGATGGTGTTCGCCGGCGACACGTAGCGCGTAACCATTTCCTTAATCTGGCGGTCAATATCCTTCGGCTGGTCTCCTACAGCGTTCATAACCAGACCAGGCAGATCAACAAGCGTCAGGTTAAGCACGTGGCTAGAGAAAACCTTGAGATTGATGGGCCGGTCCGTGATGGCGGACTTCCCTGCAACCTCCACTGTGCGGTTCTGAATCTCATCGTTGATCTCGGCGAAGTTGAAGAATTTTTTGTTGGGCTTGTGCAGGAACTCACCCCACTCCTCTTCTGTCCCCTTTGGCAGCTGCACCAACTGCAGCACGAGTGGGCAGCGCGTCACAATACCAGACCCACGCGGCAGAAAGTCCTTTCCGACAATTGCCTCCAGGACACTGCTCTTACCAGAGCTTTGACTCCCTACCACAGCGATCTGCGGCAGGTTGAGCTTGATGTTCATCTTAACATTTGCGAAAGCGTCATGGAGCTCGTTAACGACCGAGATAAGTTGATCCATTTGCCTTCAAGGGTCTGCTAAAAGCTTAACGAGAGGAACAGGATGCGTATATAAATACGTAGGTGGGCGCGTGTATATGTTCAGGGAATCCAAATTCCACTGAAGGAGAAAAAACAAAACAAAAAAAAAAACAAAGGTCAAGATGGGCGAAATAAACACATGCACGCTACCCCAGCTTCCGACACAGAATCAAGCAGCAATCTACACACCACCAGCAAGACCTACCGAGAGGCACAACAGAGATACTTATTCTCGCCCTGCTTCAATAGCGAAAAAAAGCATTCCACAATCACACAGAGAAACTTGAGTCTAATAAATCAATATAAAATTCTCCGTCACTTCACCTCCACCTCTTCTTCCGTCTATTCTTCTTCCTCAGTACACACACCACACAAACGCTGCCGCCGTTTCTTCGCCTCCGCAATCTCTTGCAGTACATGTGGGGCGTAGGGCACCCGAATTTTGAGCGTTCCCGTCACCGCCGCGCGTTGCACAGCTGCTGCAGACGGCGAAACTTCACGCGGCAGCGGCACTTGTATGAGTTTTCCTTTAACCAGCACGCGTATGTAATTCACCTCCACCTGTATGTCAAGGAGTGTGGTAGAGAGGAATTTCGGCACCTCCACCGTCAGTACAACCGCCTCATCATCACCGTCCTCGTCAAGCACAAACGGCAACTTTGGCTCATTCCGAAGCAGAAGTCGGCCGTGCTTCTCCAACTCTTCTTCCGCAGTGAGGCGCTGCGGCCGCCTTTCTGCCTCTGCGCGTAGCGCTGCCAGACTCCCAGGCACCACCTCCTTCTTTGCCTTCTGCTGTTCTTCCTCCTCTTTTTCACGCAACATCTGCAGCCGCTCCTCCGGAGTGTGACCGTACACACGCTCACCCTTGTCGTTGTAGCGCGGCGGGAACACCTCGATGCCCTGTGCGATCATCTCTGCCTTGATGCGCTCCGCCTCCCGCACACGCAGCGCCTCCTCGTCAACGACCGCCGCAACTTCGCCGTTGTCCTGCCGCGCCTCAAGCCGCTCCGAGCGCACCACTTCCTCGCCGTCAAGGTCGCGCAACTGCGGCAGCGCGTGGATGACGTAGGCGCGGTAGCCCGGCGTCTTCGTGCACGGGTTGCCGGTGAGGTGCAGCTGCTCGAGAAACGCGTTTGCCTGCAGCCTCCGCACGCACGTCATGTCCGCGACGAAGTTCAGCGTCAGGTCCAGACGCTCGAGCGCCTCGCACCCCTCGAGTCCCTCAATGCATGTGATGTTGTTCACCGCCAGATTTAGGTACTTGAGGCACTTGAGGTGGTGCAGCCCCTCGATGCGTGCGATGTAGTTGTTGCAGAGGTACAGGATCTCCAGCTCGCGGCAGGCATCGCCAACCACCTCAATGCGTTCGATGTCCTGCTGGTGCAGCGCGATCTCCTTCAGGGTGCTCAGACATCCCTCGTTGTGCTCTGAGCGGCGGCGCAGCAGTTCTACCGTAATGCGCACCATCACCTCCCCCAACGCACACAGAAAAAAAAAAAAAAAAAAAAAAACGGAGCAAAAACAGCAGGAAAGAGATAAAATGCCAAGCGCCGCGGCTCACCCTCTTGCCGCCCCTCGTCGTTTCTTATCTATCTACGCACAGGACAGAAAGGAAGAGTCCTAGGACCCGATGTCTTTCCCTTCGCCACCCTTGTACGCAAAAAGCGGACCTGTAAAAATGGTTTGACCGCAGGCGGTGATAGAGAGCAATGCGCACCACCCCGATAGCGAACTGCAAACTTACACCCACACCCACCAACGCAGGAGCTCCAAAGAAGAAAAACACTGCCTCATCACGGCGGCGGCGGTGCTGTCGAGCCACCGAACGTCATTGCCACCGCCTGCCGCGTCTTCTCAAAGCGCTGCTCGTCACCCGAGAGCACCGCCTCGTCCATCGCCAGCGCGTGTTGCAGCAGTGACGAGTCCTCGACGCGAAGGTGGTGGCGGTAGTCGTAACATCCCGTCTTCACCAATCCCCGCCCCACCACCGACGCACGCAGCACCGTCAGGAATGCATCCATCAGCACCTCATAGAACGGTGAGGACAGCGATCGCTGCTGCAGCAACGTGTGGAGCCCCTCCACCGTCGCGTCCAACGGCTCATGCGAGTTACCTGGGAAAACGGCTCGAATAGCGTCATGGTGACGAAAGTGGAAGTTCAGACGACGGCCGAAAATAAATTCGCGGGAGGCATGATTCGTGCACGCCATCGCGAGCGTCGTCACTGCACACGCCGGCAACGGCGTGCCTTGCGGGCGAGACAAGACCTCGTTCACTAGCCGCTCTGTTGCACTGATGGCATGCTGCATGTACGACATCATTGCCGATACGCAGGAAGGGTACTCGCTGCTCACCAGCCCCGCGCCCATCGAGCACAGAGGGACACACGCGTTGACAAGCGAGAGGACACCAGCGGCCGCCGGCTCCATGAGCCAAGTAACGCACTCGCGCCGCCACAGCCGCTCTGTCAGCTCCTGCACCGCCACACGTGCCGCAGCATCTGTCGCATCATCCATAGCAAATGCAAGGGATATACCGTTGTTGCCGTTGCTACTACTATTGCTGCTGTCACTCCTCAGCTCCTGCGCCGATGCTGCTGCCCACTCCTTCGCGAAGAGCGGCCCAGAGACGACAACCAGCTTCGACGCCTGCGAACACATGGCGTGATTGATCTGTTCGCATGGCGTTAATCCTCCTCTAGAAAGGCCACGACTAAAGACAAAAGTAGGCGCGTCCGCGTGCTGGCGCAAGCATTGCAGCACCGGAGGGTCTGCACTCGCCGGCGATGTAGCGTCATCCTTCCCAGCGAAAGACGTCACTGGCACGCAAAGAAATGACGCCTCGCCGCTCTCCAGCAGCCCTCCGCCCATTTCTTGGAAAGACAGCCGCGACGGAACACGAACGCGGTGGTCGAACGGCCGGAATGCACGAGAGCCGTGCTGCAGATCGTGCAGGTACTCCTTGTCCCGGCCAAGCATCGTCACCATAGTTGCCTCATTTCCATTTGCCAGCAGCGACAACGCACACGCCGTCCCGAGCTCACCAGAGCCGAGCACCAACAGTCTGGATTGCATGCCCGAGCTCCTTGCTCTCTCTTTTCCTTCCACCCTACCCTGCACACACAAGATGAATGAGCAACCAAAACAAAAACAAAAAGAACACATTCATGTTTTTAACGACAGTACTTGCTCTGCATGCACAGCGCTCCATCTTCTCACAAACACACGTACACCCAAGTCCATTCTGGTTGGATTTATCCCATTAATCAGTCATACTTCCCAGGTGTTTGCAAAGCAGCATCTATGTGCTTGCCCGTTCATTTTTTCTTTTTCCTTTTTACAAAACCCTCATGCTGTTTTTCACTCCCTGCTTTTGCCCCTCAGTCATTGTAGTAACCAACGCGGAATTAAATAATAAAGTCAAAAAAAAAAAAAAACAAGCGTATAACGCACACATTACCGAGGAAAGAAGATGTGGCTCAGCTTTGGTCCTACTCCCCACTTGGCCTGCATCCAGGCGCGCAGACGAATGCCCTCCCCAGCACGGTAGATGGCTAACTTTGCGTGTGGCAACGGGTTAGTATGGAAGAACGCCTGGAAATCCTTTGCGTTGGCCTCGCCGGTGAGAGACGAGCCAACATTCTCCACAATGTTTTGAATGCGAAATGTCCCACTTCCCCATTGCTTATATACACCCTTGAAGTGTTTCTTGAAGAGCGTCCACGCGTATCCCATGGGTAGCGAAGGGTTCGATACAACCTCTGCAAATATGGCTCCACCGTACTGGGACCGAATGCCATCACCGTAAATGCACCTCTTTGCAATGCTTTCGACGTAATCAGGATCATTCGCCCAACAGAGAGCTCGCAAGATACAGCGACTTGCCTCATCGCTGTCATTCAGCTCGGTGAAGCGTTTCCACAAGGCATCGGTCCGCACTGATGGATCGTTCGGTCCCAGACGCACATACACTGCAAGCGTCATTGAAAGCGTGTCTGAGCAATACGGTTCCCCATCCATGAAAGCCTTCGCCTCCTTCAGCGCCCACTCTACGGTGGGAAGCTCCCGGGCGTTTTCCTCTGGCAAACTCTTCAAGATGGTGGCGATGGCTGCATTGATGAAGAAGGCACGTCGCAGGCACTCCTCTGTGGTTTCCGGTTTCGTGTTCAAGAGTGCTTCTGCCCTGGCCCCAATCCTATACATGAGCCCGACCCGTAGCTCATTCCGCAGATTTGCGTTCTCCACGAAACCGAGAAAATCCGCCATGCTGTTGTAATATTCTTCCCAGACACTCTTGTTGGCTTCCTGTTCGGACAGGAGCGAGGGGAAGATGGCCAGGCGATCCATGTCTTCATTGCCCATATGAATTGAAGCCAGTGTATCCGTTATCAAACCACAGCGATCACGGGCGTTCAGGGAGGAATACGCACATAATAGCTGAGAAAATGCATCATCATCGTAGCGGCAGCGGAAGAATCCTTGTCTGCGGGGGTTCGCATTAATCCAACGTGACTTGGCGAGCTCTTCGGGTAGCTCTATTTGCTTTGGCTCACCACCGCGGAGTGTGACTCGATGTGTTACCCCACCCTCCCCCTCGAGCACAATAGGAACACACCACAACGTATTCTTCTTCTGTGCTGTGGATACGAACTGACAGGGTTCTTGTCGCAAAACGACGATACCGGGCTTCGGCCGACTCACGTGAATGATAGGGTATCCCACCTGTGTCGTGAAGGACTGCATCGCCTCTGTGAGCGAGACTCCAGAGGCTTCCTCCAGCGCCTGCCATAACTGAACCGTTTGAGTGTCACTGTAACGATGCTTTTGAATGTAATGCGCGACAGAGGATGCCCACTTCTCCCCAAGGAAGGCCTCCAGCATGAACACCAATCCCATGCCCTTGTCGTAGCTGATTGCATCGAATATCTGCGTGATCTCAGCTGGGTCGCGGATCGGCACCTCAACAGGGTGGCTGTGCTCATACATGTCGCTGATCAGCGCACTCGCAACTGCCCTTGTGGCATCCTCGTCACACTGCCACGATGGCTCAATACTGTTGGCGGCGTTATACCCACACCATGAGGCGAACCCTTCCTTTAACCACAGCCCCTCCCACCAGCTGACGGCAACCAAATTGCCGAACCAGTTGTGCGACACCTCGTGACATAGCAGAGCGGCGACGCGCTTCAGTCCAGCAACACTGGACACCTGCTCGTCCAACAATATGGACTCCACACATGAGATGCAGCCCCAATTCTCCATCCCGCCAATTGGGAAGTCTGGCACAGCCACAACATCCAGCTTAGGCAGTGGGTACTTGCAGCCGAAAAACTTTTCAAAATACTCCAATGCAAAGGCAGTTGTCTTGAGGGCAAAGGCGGCTTTGTGCGATTTGCCAAGGGTTGTGTAGACCTTCACGGGAATACCAGAGGCGGTGGTGCCAACACTCTCAAGTTCTCCCACAAAGCAAGAGGTGAGGTACGGCGGCACTGCAGGAATTGTCTCGAAGTGATGTGTCACCACCTCACCCTGCCGCTCTTTCGACTTGCGCGGACCGTTTGACAGAACTGTGAACTCCTCCATGCTGGACGGCACGGAAACATGAAGTGTGAAGTCTGCGCGCGCGGCTGGTTCATCCTGACAAATGTAGAAGCGCCGTGCAGCAGTTGGTTCGAAATGTGTCGCCGCCATGCGGTGCTCGACACCATCACTGGTTTTAAACTGCACACGATAGAAGCCGCGCATCTCCTCTACAATCTCGTGAGAGAATGTGAACGTCACTGTGTGACCTTCAGCCGGCTGACCATTCAACTGCAGCTGAAGGGTTTCCGCCGCCTCGTTGCGGCCCGTGATTGTGGCTCCGCTAACCTCTTTGATGTTCATTGACGNCATTCAACTGCAGCTGAAGGGTTTCCGCCGCCTCGTTGCGGCCCGTGATTGTGGCTCCGCTAACCTCTTTGATGTTCATTGACGGGGAGTAATGCAGCTGCACCACGTTTGACGCCTCAACATTCGGTGTTTTCTTAAAGGCGATTGTCTCTTTTCCTTCGTATTTCCAGTTTGCGAGGTCGACGCTCAGATGCAAGTCGTACGACTTGGGCGAAAAAGGGTTGCGCAGCTTCACAGATGTGGCGGTCGACATTTATGCGTCCTTCGGTTGCAGGTGTCAATAATAACAAATAAAATAGACGGAGAGCTAAATCTTTTTTTTGTTTTGCTTTCTTGCTGATTCTTCACGACTAGTCAAAGTGAAGTTGTGTAGGAGACAAAGGGGAAGACGATTCGCCACCACACTGTGTCCACTCGGACCCCCCCCCCAANAAAAAAAAAAAAAATCAATCGATAAATAGGTAAGCCGAATCGGAAGCGACCTATTTTTTTTTGTATCTCTCCCAGAGACTCACTTGTGCGCATTCGTTTTGTCGCTATAGGCGCACACACTTCACACTTCACACTCCCAGACACACGCCAAACGACCTGCTGCTTTACCAACTTTTCCGGTTGCCGTTGTTGTTGTTGTTGTTGTTGTTGGCGGTGCACTCTACAAGCTGATCGGACAGGAGACGTATTTGCGTTTCCAGTGCCTCTTGCACGCGCTCGGCGTCTTCTGCTTGCTGCTGGTTGAGAGACTCCAATCGCCTAACCTCTTGCTGGGCACCCGCTAGAGCGTCCTGTTTCTCCGCCAACTCTAACAATGTGAAATTCATTTGAGTATGATAGCACACCGCAGCGCGATCCGCCGCTGCCAGGGCCGCCACGAGCTCATTGCTGTCCGCCAGAGCACTATTACCGACAGCGGGGAGGTCCTCCAGCGGCCTCGACAACTCCGCCGTCTTCTCCCGCGAGACCTTGACTGCTGTGTCACCCGCGGTAAAACTCCCGAGGGAATTTTTTATGAACTTCAGGGCCACACGTACGGGGTCGCTTGTAGCGGCTGACGCGAGTTCCTGCAGGAGGTGACTGAGCGACACCGCCGCTTGCTGCAGCGTAGAAGAGGCAACACAGCCCTCCCACCAGAACCGCTCCAACGCCAATAGCCACTCTGCTGAGTCACATGCATTATTTCTCAACACTGTACATGAGTCGCTACATAGTTGCGTAAGCACCTCTAAGGAACCGCGGATAGCAGCAAGCGTGCGAACCATATTGCACACTGAGGGCTCAATCACAGCTCGCCTGCCACCCGCAATGTCGCCCGCATCGCCGTTCTCAACGATCACACAAGCGTCAATCAACAAGCGTGCATGCTCGCACAGCAGCGCCAGCCACTCGTCCAGGCTTGTGAAGAGGAGGCCTTGCGCATGCAGCAGCTGTGTCAGCTTTGCATCCGGCGCCACTGACGCAGCGAAAGCCTCCTCCATCTCCTTCACATGGAAGAGCACGCTCAGCTTCCTTGCGCCATGAGCCTCCAGCAGCGTGCTGAGGCGATCGCGGTAGCATCGGATATCGCCTAATGTGGCGGCCTTCACCTGCGGCCCAAGCGCGTCGCGAAGAGATGCGATGAGGACGGATACGCCGCTCATTATGGTGCGCACAAATGCAGCAGAATGTGCTAATGTACCCGCAGCAAGTTCCTCACGGATTTCGCGCGGCGGTACGCCGCCACGCTTTGCCATTAGGGAAGGGGAGACAGTCACACGGAGATGCTGCTGTTGTTGTTGAGCTGTGGCATCCCACGACAGGACGAAGAAGTGGTGACAGAACTGCGCCAGTGCCGCCTGCCTAGTGCACTCCACATTGAGATGGTCACATGCGTGCGCCGTCGAGTTGAGGAGGCTCCGCAGCTCCATTACCTCCGCTTGTAGTGCCAACTTTTCGGCAGTCTGCTGCTCGTTCTCCTTCTCCCACCTGCGCCGCTCGTTCTCGTACTTTGTCTGCACTTCGTATAACTGTATGTGAATGCTCTCGTTCTCCGCCACAATCTTCTCTTGGTCTTCAGGTGATAAATTTACGGTAGTCGCCATACCCTTTGGCCGCTTTGCCGCTGTACCACTTTCTTCTCCATCGGCGCCAGTCACCAGAGAGGAAAGACCCTTCCACGTTGTCTTTACCGACGCCCCAAAATGCCTACGTTTACGCTCTGCTTCTAACTCCGTCTCTGTCGCCTGAAGCTTTCGCCGAAGCGTCTTGTTGTCATCTTCCACGCGTGAGAGTTCCTCACCGATCGCACCCATCTGATCCCGCAACTGCTTGTTATGTTGCTCAAGCACTTGTTTCTGTTTTGTCACGCTGACGACGGCCTTCTTCAATAACGATATTTTTGTTTCGGTGTCGCCGTGCGCCATGAGGGCTGCTACTTCCTCTTTGCTCGTCATCTTGCCAGAGGAAGAGCAATGAGACCAATCTGAAGTCTCCTAGTTCCTCGAGGAAAACACACAAGGATGAGAGAGACATGGAGTGACAGCAAGGGAAGGAGCTGAAGGTCACAGTAAACAAGGACCGATAGGCGATTACGAGAGTGAGGCGCAGACAAATGGATGAGAGATTCAATTCACTCACGCACGCGCCACACAACAAAAGACAACATATCTGTGAAGTAGCTGCGACAACGAACAAGGCCAACTCCTCTCCTGTCCTTACCACTACCCACAGCCAACTTCAAGGAGCAGCAACAGCATTCTGACACAGCGTATCCTCAATCCCAAGAAGCGGGATTAATGGCTGCACGTCAGACTAGACGCGCCCGCCCCTCCACAATATACGGTCGAAAGGAACGGTAAGGGACAAGGAAGATCTCGCCAGCGTGCACAGTCTGCACTGCATCCTCTCCCAAGCGCACTACACCCAAATCCTCCAGTACAACACAAAAAACGTAGCGGTCCAAGTCCGGCAATGGGAGGATTTCCATCCCCTCTCCATACGGGGAGGACGGGAAGAGGTGCTGCAGTTCCGCCGGAGCAGACTGAAGCCCCGCTTGCATCACACACTTGCCTGCCGCTTCCGCGAGTCGGTCAGCAACAATAACCTCATTGTGTGACAGCATCCCACGCAACTGCGTCGGTGCATCCACACTCGACTGACCCTCATAAAAGATCGACTGTGAAAGTGCCTCAATCTTGCGCAGGCGGCACCGCAGCAGTTCGCACAGAAAGAACTGGGCGCGCTGCACCTCCAGGGCCATGATGTCGGATTGTTTGAATGGGAGAAGAGAGGCACCAGATTCCCCTTCTGCTACCTTTTGTTTTTCCTCTTCACTCAAGCGTTTGATCTGTTCATTCTGTGCGGCAATCTGCGCCGCCACACCGTCTACAACGGCCTCAGGGTACGGCAAAATATCAGGTGCGCAACGCTCATTCTCTGTCGCCTGAATGAGCGACTTGAGAAGGCTACCAAAGCCGCTGGAGGAAGGGAGCAACAACGCCTCATTGCCGTTATTCTTGCTGGCATCATTGTCCACCCCGCTGTCAGTGCTGCTCCCCCTGCTGAGAGCCTCGTCCAGGTGGTCCTCAAAAAACATCTTCCTGCGGCGCCACAGAAGAAAGAAAAAGAAAAAGTGCAGCTGCTTGAAACACGAAGGGGCGACGTTTGTATCATTAGAAGCTCGCCAAAACATGGAACAGGAAAACCAAAAAAAGACAGGGAAATGCTACACACCAACAGCAAGCCCTCGCTGGTGTGCTGTGCGAAACACCCAATCAAGACGACATGGATGCAGTCCCTCAACTCATGACACACTCTTTCTGCGGCGCGGCGGCTGGTAGCACACGGGGCCTTGAGGGCCGTGCAGCCATCGATCGACGAGTCCGCGGTGCTTCGTGTTGCTCCGGCAGCGGGAGGAGCTCTTGCTTATCAGTATGATGATCAACCTCGTCATTTTGCGAAGACGATAAGTCGTGGGGCAACGTTGACTGCAGCAGACCGTTGTCAAACCACACGCCGCTTCCAGGGATATTCTCTTCACCGTCAATGTGTGCGTACTTAACCGCACTCACCGCGCCATCTTGCAGTGAACTCTGCCACTGCGGGAACATACTGTTGAGGATGACCAACTCGTGCATCGTCAACGCGTTCGCCATCTGCGCCCGCAGCCACTGCATGCGTACCCCATCCCAACGGCAACCCGTCACATCGCCCAGACACATCTCTACGATACTGTTGAAATGACGCCGTTCTTTTTCACGTATCGCAAGACGCGCAATGTGTTCCGCCATGAGGAGGTCGTTCCACTCTCTTGCACACCTTTCCAAAAAAGAGACATGCCACCGATGACCATCAACGAGCAACTGTTCAAATGCGTCTTCGATTTTGGAACGATTACGTCTCTCTTCCTTCTCTAAACATTGTAACATGTGGTGGAGCCTGCTTACCCCATAGTCTTCGTACGGCGCAAGACGTTCACGCCAAGAGGGATCCTCTCCGGACATGACAGCACCACTTGCAGTCACCACCTTTGTGGAACATGGTGCCGACCCTACCTCTACAGAGGAATGAGAAAAAGTCGCCGCCGTTGAAGTGCTTTGCCGTGCACACCGCAGCTCCCCTGGTGTGCCCACAGAATGCAAAGTCGGCGAGCGGCGAAGAATGCTGCCATTCCATGTACTACCATCGATGACACGCGCAAGTTCTGAGAGTCTCCGTCGCCTATAGGAAGCTGACTCTAGCGAGGGGGAGGACCGGTCACATGACGCACGAGTTCCAACAACAGTACTCTGTGCCTGCTCCCGCACAACGGTCGTCGTGGGAGGGCCACGATAGCTTTCCAAGGTTACCATTGACTTTCTTCCGCCCGGTACTGCAGCTGAGGGTTCACAATTCCCCTCGCTGGATCCATGAGAGAGGTGATAGTACGCGAACCGTGCCTCCGCGCCTAGCGGCTGCGAGAGCGTGGAGCAGCCGTGCCGAATGTACGTCTGCAGGGCCACGGTGTCACCAACCTCCACAAGGTGTCGCAGTGTCCTCTCGTCCATTACTTGCGAAGGGCGTGTGGCTGAGCACCACGTAAATCTTCATTTATGTGCTCGTCTCAATGAAAAGGTATAACAGGAGATGTGGCGAAAGAGGAGGGAGAAACAGCTTTTTAGCCAAAAGGCAACATCGCACGTCAAAAGACAGATCGGAATAAAGACATTATTTTTTTGCTCTTTTTCCCCTTTTTATTTCCTTTTCTCTTTCTTAGTGCTTCTTTCATGCCGTCATATCAAAAGAAAAGTACATCAATAAACTAAGACACGATGCCATTTTTGTATGGACATGTGCGCAGGTGCGCACTTGTGTTGTCCATCTCCTCCTTTCCAGAACAATGAGGCATTGCCACACGTTTTTAGTTCCTAGCTGTTGACTTCTTGTAAAACGGAACATACTGTTCTTTTTTGCGTCTCGCCAACATATCATCGAGGTGCCTCTGCATTTCCTCGCGCAGTCCTTTCGCTACATCAACTGCTGTCGCGTTCTCATCATACTCGTATTTACCAACGTAAACGTACACGTCAGCGGGAAAGCCCGGCATGCCCTTCAGCGCCGGGTCCCACACCTCGCTGCAGCCGGCGTAGACAATGTAGTGAATCGGCACCTGATGTTTCACAACCATGCTGAAAGTGCCAAGACGGAAGTCTGTCAAGACCTCTGGTGTGGGATTGAGCGCGCCCTCTGGGAAGAAGCAGAGGACACCACCATCGGCGAGGAATGACTCCGCCGCCGCCGACACCACCGCCTGCTTCTCCTTGTCCACGGCGAAGGATGGCCCCCCAGCGGTGAAGTGCACTGGCAGGTGGCCACAGGCACGGATGACTTCGCCCATAAGCGGCATCTTCCACAACGCTCTCTTCGCAAACGACCTGACATTCAAGAGGTACTCCACTGGGCAGAGCCAAAGGAAGAAGATCGTGTCGAAGAAGGAGGTGTGACATGCGCAGAAGACACCTCTGTTCTCTATGCCGCGCCAGTCCAGAGAACCCTCCATAAATTTCACGTGGATCTGCGGAGACAGGAACCACAGCACCTTGCCCATCAGAATTCCACTACTGAAGCAGCAGATGCGCTCTGAACGACGCTTACTTATCCACTTCTTCTCGGCTGCGTTGCGTAGGGTGAAACAGATCACAAATTCGATTGCCACTACAAGTACGGTGCAAAGCACGAACCACACTCGTGCCACGATCACTGGGAAGCGTCGTGTTCGCATTAACCACATGAACACGACAAAAAGGATTAGCGGTAGCATGGATCCCATCGAATAAATGATGATGTGCTTGACTAGAAAACAAGTGCGACAAAGAGGAGAGTTTTTTTTAGTGAATCTTTTAGAGCGAAACACAAAGCAGACAAAACATGCGAATATATAAGTGTGTATATTTGCCTTATCATAGATACAACAACAAGAACAACAAACAAGCAGATGACTCAGTGATGAAAAAGATAGTATCGCAAAGCACCTCCACCCCCACATGTTGCCTTTGTTTCCTCGTCCCCATCCAATGTTCGCATATGTAATATATAAATAAATATATATAAAGCGATGATATAATTGGTATAATGCATGGGGCGTGTTTCAGAGGCTGAGGAATGTAAATCCCGTACGGGATTCTTGAAAGACCAATTACAGACAATTAACCCTTTTTTTCCACTCCCTATTTCGCTCACCTTCGTAAATTTTGTCTAAAACAGCGGTTAAGGAGCCCACTGAGAGACACAAACACAGACCCTATTGCTTTTTTTTCTACAGAAGTGCGAGGGCTGCAGCCCACTCAATGGCATCAGAATCCTCAGCAAACACACACGCCCATAAACACACACAAAAAAAAAACAAGACCCAACGACGTTCACAAAGAGAGAGGGGGTACAGGGAAGGGTATAGAGATATAGATATATATAATAATACTATATATATTTTATATACTAGCACAATACATTGCCAAATGCAATCAAATACACACCAGTAAAGGGGCGAAGCGGCCGCCATGTGGCCGTTGAAATAAAGGAAAAATGAAAATACAGAAAAAAAGCAAAAAAAAAGATACGGCTTCAGCGCCCAAAAAACCTTACACTTCCTCGGAAAGTAGAGGAGTGCAGCATCACTTGTTTTTCTTGTTTCACGTTTTCTAAAGAAATTGAAGAGTTGATACTTTTTCGTTCTTACAGATAAATGTGTATCATTCCGGGAAAAAAAGGAACGACCTTAATACAAGCGACTTGTTGTCGCCGCAATTCGTTTCATTCTTACACTGACGGACAAAAAGACACACACACACACACTCTCTCTCTCGCTCTTATTGCTCATTGCACTGTCGCGTGCACTGAAGGCCAGATTCTTCCTGCATCCGCCACTCCCACACCCCCTTCTTCCCACCGTACACACAAAAACACACCGTCACAATTCACTTTTCTGTTCATGCCCATCACCTACCTCCATGACGATTACTTCTTCAACCTCCGGGCTTTCTTCTACGCCTTTCCTCACTGTATGATGCTTACACACAGAACCTTTACACGTGCAGCGGGAGAAGGCATATAAAAATGATCGTAAACGACAAAAACATATCTGTTGCCACCAATGGCTTCAATTCCATGACAATATCAAGCGTCATATGAACCCGGAGCAAGGGGCAGGAAAAAAAAAAACATACATTACGATGCGATTGAAGGGAACACTTGAAGAAATATCTAGCTGGCTAGTGGCTTCTGCAGAGCGATATTTAGCTTTTTCCGTGCAGTCGTGAGGAGCTTCCCTAAATATACACGTATATGGATATGTGTATACACGCATATGTATACTACTTATGCATACACACCTTCACCAAGAAGGGAGGATGCAAGCACGATGAATGTGAGGGGCCACGCAATCACATGCTCTTACTTCCTACATGGCCATTCATCCGACCGTGAAACAGTGGTAGAAACACCTTGCGGAATTCGGCACCGCAGTGGCCGTTGTCGTGCAAGAGGGGGCACATTCATTCGCATTGAAAGACCGGGCTCAAGCACAGAGCCCATTGGAGAAGTAAAATTGCGAACACTCACAATATCTGTGCTTTGATAGCCCCCATTCTTCGTTTCAATGCTAGGCGCTGGAATGAACACCGTGTCACTCAAAGCGGTTGGACTTGCCAATCCTTCAGGGGAAGGCTGCCATTTTTCTTGCGCACTGACCGAAGCCACGCCAGGTGAAAACTGAGCATTCGGAACACTGCCTTTGCTGGGTGTTGGACTTAGAAGCGTGGCGCCAATCGGCTGCTGCATCTGGTTCCACGGCACCATATACTGCGTGTAAACAGTAGTGAGATGTGTTCCCACATCTGCATTTGCTGCAACGAAAGTGTTGGCATTTGTGGGAGTTAGTACCGACTGGGTAAGCTCTGTGGGGAAGGGAGTAGGCGTTTGCTGTACGGCTGCAGCATTCTGTGGTTGCAGGAACAGAATGGGCGGGCCTTGGGGCGCTGAGGTTGCTTGCATGGTTGGAGGCGTACTGAAGTAAAACGACAGATGCATAGGCTCTCTCGGCTCAGGGACGTAGACCAGGTACGTTCCAAAACCAATGCTATTCGGTGCAATCGACATTTTCACCTTTAGTGATGTTGTGTCTTCGAGACGCAAACTACAGTTTAACAGTGAAGAGAAAAATAGGAATAAACCACAAAGCCAACTATTGAACACAAAATTAGCCCCCAAAAAACGAAACAGCTCCATACTCTTTATACTCCTGTCCTCTTTCACTCAACAACATTCTCCAGACGAAGTAACCAAGGAATACAGAGGGACTTACCTTTCTGCATGCGCATGCTTGTGTGCCGATTTGTGCGTGACTTATTTCCTAGGAATGGAAGTGAAACAGAAGGCACTGACATGTTCAAGAAGCTCTCACCTCATTTTCGCTTACGTTTATCTCCTGCCTCCCCCGCCCTCCTCACACGTGTGTTCTCTCTCTCTCTCTCTCTATATATATATATATATATATNTATATATATATGAGCGAGAGCATGGTGACAGGGCAGCAGCGTCGACCATCCCTCCCACTGCTGGTGCTGCTACTGGGAGTTTAGTTGGCACATCTCTTGTACAAGTAAATAGACGCCATAGAAAACGGCGGGCTTCGCGACTCCGCCACCTTCTCATCGTTGAATAAAAGCCATTGCCCCGTTTCTTCGTCTCTGATGTGGCACACGTAGTGACCCGTCTTGGCACTCGCCCCCATGTGACTAATCATAGCGTGCAGTCGGTACCATGCCGGCCCATCGCGAACAGGCGCTGCTTTGCACTCCTCATTTCCTGGTACATTTGAGGCACCCGCGGCCTTGGCCATTTCTTCTGTAATGTTTTCTCGACTGAATACGTAATCGACAGCCCTTTCTGTATTCATGTCAGTTTGCAAAAGTGCATATTTGGCAATCTCCTCGTCAATGCCCATGCTCATCATGATGGCAAGCGCTGTCTCGTCCACCGTCTTCGCTGCTGGCGTTGCGGGTTTATGTGGGAGGCTCGCGTCGGTGTCAGACATCTCCACCTCACCAGCTTGAAGGCCTTTGCCGCGGAGCTCCTCTAAATTNAGTTGCTCTGGGGCTTCAACAAACACGTCCAGTTTATTTACTGCCATTGTTTCAATATCGAAATGTGCCCGGCGGAGCGAGATAGAGAGAATATCTGGGAAGGTTGCCATGCGGATAGTTTTGGAGTACGTGACTGGAACCCCGCAAGCACTGCATCGGCACTCAACGTCCACCGATCGCATCAGCGAATCAATGCATTCATTTAATGAAATGCGAGGACGGTTCGCTTCAATTTCTTCGTCTGTGAGCTTTTTGTCCCTTTTGGCACTCTTGGCAAGGGGATCCATTGGAATGGGCAATGAGAGACAACAGTCTGTTTCTTGCGTGTAACGTACCTTGTGGCATGAACAACACTGGATACGGTTCTCTATTGCCATCTTAAATGTGTCTGAAGGGTGTAAGCTGCTCGCCCCCACATCATAGGGCACCTTCACATGGCGTCGCATCTGCTCGAGTACGTACAACAAATACTCCTGCGCATCCTGCTGCTCTGCAGTGGAGAAGTCGGGGTGATTTTGAGCAAAAACACGTTTGAACTCCCTTGCTGTGATGCCATTATTTTTCTCTCTGCCCTCCACAGAGAAATCACCTGACAACAGGCCGCTGGCAACGCGCTCCGTCTGGCAGCTACGGCAGTTATACGGGTCTTCACGGCACGCCTTCTGGTGCAATGCTTCTCGATTGTGGTAAAATGCCTCCTTGAAGGACTCCAGGGAGAAGAGACACTGCAGGACTGATGCCATATAGCAGCTATTACCAAAGTTATGCATCCCCGTTCGTCCAGGCCCAAATACAGGGACAAGTGATTCACCACTTTCTGTGATGCGATTGAAATCAAACTGGGAAGAGTAATCGTACTGCAACTCTCCAAGTGTTTTTGCCGTTTTCTTCGCTTTTTTAACGTCGATACCGAAGTGTTTCATGTGCGCCTCGAAGTACACATCAGAGACCTCGTCGTCGCACAAGTAACAGTAGAAATCAGCACCGGAGGGTGTCACCGTTCCGAGTTTTAGAACGACGGGATGCATTGTGGATATGTGGTGCTGCAACGCATGGCCGCTCCCTCCGGCCTCCTTCCGCGGGCACCCAATAGCCCCACACGTCATACAGATCCAGTTGTTCAGTCGGCACTCACAACCGTCAAAGACGCACTTATCAGTGGACGACGGCTCGCTTGTGAAAGATATTGGGAGCTGCTCCAAGCAGACCAGGTGTGGACACTGTGGTCGCATGAACTCGCCGCCTTCCGCCTCGATGGCATCTTTTGCACCAGTTGAGGTGGCGTGCATAACCCGCTGGTAACATTCCTCTGCCAATTCTGGCGGCGCAACATATGCTTTTGAGCACGCAGCGCAACAGACAGCGCTCGCGTACTCTTTCGGCGCCACAACACCAAGCTTGTTAACGTCCTTCGTTTCCTCTACCTCTTCCTGCTTGGGCGGAAGCTCTTTGAGCCAGACATACATGGTGTGACTGGAATGGATCGAGGTGTGCTTCCTCACGTGCGCCAGACAGAGTCCAACATGACAGCGCATACACACTAACACCCCACCTTCGTGTCGGCATGTTCGACAACAGTACGCGCACTCCTCCTTGTGCACTGCAGACTGATGATATGGGGCCACCATCGCCGAGTCGTCCCAGCAATGGGGACACGCTTCATCGGTGAAAGGGAATGGCGGCGTCATGCCCCTGTGTCTCTTGCTCTTTCTCTTTTATTACTAGTGAACGCTTCAATTACCCTCTTTGTTTTGACACGTGTGTGTGTGGATGTGTGTGTGTGTGTGGAGAGAGAGAGAGAGA